CCCCCCCCCCCCCGCTATGTCTCATGTCTCCCCCTCGGACCAGCTCAGTGCTGCAGACCCCAGCAGAGCCCGGGGCTGGGGCCAGGGACCCGCACACCTGAGAGCTGGCAGGGCCTGGCATGTCCCTCTCAGCCGAAAAGCAGCCCAGGGGCTGAGCTGACTCCCTCCGAGCACCCAGGAGGCTGCACCCATCCCAGCATCACTCCTTAGCCTGCCCGAGGGGGAGCACCAGGACACGCAGCCTCCGGCACCCCCAGGAACACGAGGTGGGCTCTGTAAAGGTCAAGCAAAGATTAAAGCCCCTGCACTGTTGGATGCAAAAAGCATCTCAGAGGATTTTCACCCATGGCAGAATACTCCCAGCCACAAGGCAAACCCTGGCCAGATAAAAATAACCAGGCAGCAGAGCAGCACGCTTCACCACCGCCTCTTGCACAAGCAAAAAATCAGTGAAAGAAGCCGAGAGTGCACATCAGCTCAGCATCCCCCGGCTCGCTGCCCTGCGTGGGAGACTGATGCTCACGAATCTCCAGAGCAAAGCGGGACGATGGGGTATTGCCGGGCTGGGGCTGGCTCCTTCTCCCAGGTGAGGACAGGTTCCAACCGTGCCGGCGATGCTCCGGCTCCCGCTGGTACCAAGGGGCCGGGGCTGCCGAGCCCCCCCAGAGGCACAGGCTCCACGTCGGGCACCGACAGAGCCAAAGCTTCCCGTCACCACGGCCTCGTGTCTGGGGCTAAAGGCCGGCAGACAGGGTCTCCCCCAAAGTGCTTCTTTCCAAAGGGAGCAGAGGAGGGGCTCGGGCGAAGGCTGACTTTACAGCCCTGTTTCTCTCCGGTGTTGCTGTGGGTTTCTTTGCAGTTTGCCAGGCTCCGGTTGTCCCCAGGGAGGTCAGTGCCCAGGCGGGGCAGATGCTTTCCCTCCACCGCTGGTACCCGCGGGGCTACGAGGGCAACTGCAAGTACTGGTGCGGGGGGGCCAGCCGGGACTCCTGCCGCAAGGTGGTGGAGGCGGCAAGCAGGGAAGTGGTCCAGCAGCACGGCCGGGTCTCCATCCAGGACAACCACATCTTCTGCGTGGTCCTGCTCACCATGAAGGATGTCTGCGAGGTGGATGCTGGGAGGTACTGGTGCGGGGTCGAGAGGACAGGCAGGGACCTGATGGAGCTGGTGACAGTGAGGGTGGTCCCGGGTAAGCCCTGGTGTCCAGCTGGCTAAAGGTTTTGCTGGCCAGGACCCTTTTCTGGAGAGGCTGCTGGTTTATGGGCCAGCAGTAGCCTGGGAGGAGGCAGCAATGTGGGAAAGAGCCCCTGGGACCCAGTATAAACCAGTGACAGAGACTGGGAGGGGTGACGGGTTGCTTTCTCCTGGGGATGCTCACAGATACGGGCAGAGTGTGCTGGAGCTCAATGCAGGGTGTAGCCCCCCACTGTTTTGGGGGCTCCCGGCACCCATCATGGTGCAGGCAGGATGGTGGAGCTGCCGGTTACAGGCAGCAGCGAGCACTAACGCTGAGCCCCAGCGCTGGGGCCAGGGAGCACCTGCCAAACCTGCCTCTGGCAGCCAAATGATGGAACATTGGAGTTTCTAGACAGGCAGGTGCAGGCAGGTGCAGGCAGGCGCATCCCACAGGGATGCCGGCAGGGCAGGGGCACATTCTGGAGGGGACACGGGCAAGTATTTAACTGCTGCCAGAGGAGACATGGGGAACCCACGGTCCCCCAGCTGCCCCCACCCCCTGGATCCCCACTACCACGACAGAGCATCCCCCTACCACCACCACCACTGCTGTGGGGTGAGCGCGGGGCCTGGGGCACAGGGTGGGCACAGGGAACGGCAGCGGCACCCTGCGTTGCTTTGGCAGATTGTCCCGCGCCTCTCGGCTGGCAAGAAACCGTATCCCTGATTCCTGCACAGGCTGAGGAGCAGGATGCTCTCCCAGCTCAGCAGCAAACAGATTGCTTTGGGTTCAGATAAATCCAAGAAAGAAATTCCTCCGTGGGGGCTCGGTCTGGAGGGGAGAGGGGACAATCTGGTGTGCCCACAGAGCCATTCTGCTGCTGTCATCCCTTTTGGGTCTCCCCAGGGCACCCTGGTACTGCTGGGGCTGCGTCAGGAGGGGACAATGGGAACCGACGCTCAAAGCAAGGAAGACGAGAGCGGCTGGGGAGGTGGCTGGAGCCCTGGCTGCCCAACCTTTCCAGGAAGGCTTATCAGCAGAAACCAGATTTGGAATCTCCAGCCACTTCTTGAATTTAGATCTTGCTGCTATTTGCAGCAACTCGGCTCACAGTTGGTCACTCAGTTTTCTGGGAAGGAATGGGGTTACGTGGTGATCAGAAGGAGAACACAGAGCTTCCTCTTGCCATGGCAGGGGACAGGGAGGGCACGGCACGGGGGGAAGGAGCAGCCTCAGCCTCCGGCAGGGCCAGAGGTTTCTGCTTTCTGCTCTTTCCAAGGGACATTGAGGAGGAGAGCCATCAGCAAGGCAGCTGCCAGGGAAGTGGTTTTGCTTTTTATGTTCTGGTTTCTGAAACTTTCAGTGGAAACACTTAATTTCGGGAGAAAAACAGTGTTGTCACTCAAACCCCACAGCTGTGCCAAAAAAGGCGTTTTTTGGGGGGAAATGAGGCACTTCTGCTTGAGAAAACAAACAGAAGCAGCCCAGCTCACACTGGCAGCTTGCTCGGGAGCTGGGGAGCAGCAGTGCAGCAGGGACGGCTGTCCATCATCCCAGTCCCTCATCCCAGTCCCTCATCCCAGTCCCTCACGACCTGGAGAGCATCCCGGCGATCCCAACTGGTCTATCGACAGGGGCTGACCTGCATTTGCTCTACCCTGATCTCCGGATCCCCGCTCTGTGCCAGCCCCCCTGCAAACCCCCCCAAAGCCCTTTGGGCTCTGTGCGTGGGGAAGGGGCTGTATTCCCGCTGGGACGGGCATCGCAGCGAAGGAACCCACTGCATTTTGGCATTTTGCTGGGAACCAGCGGCCGCTTCAGAGCAAAATCATAGAGTCTCTCTCATGAGACACCCCTAGGGCCAGTCATGGTCCCCTGGCGAAGGGGAGGAAGCTGCTGCCTTTAAAATAGACATCCAGGATCTGTGGGTAAACCAACGGCAGAAGGACGCTTGAGAAACTCCTGGGACACTTGGGTGTGTGTGAACCAGGCTCCATCCCACAGGATACTTCATGAATGACCGCAGGGGAAAACCCACATTGGGAGCGAGAAGCTAGAAAATGAGGATTTTGCTGGTTTGGACCCTTTTCCCAGGTAAGACCCAGCAGCACAGGTCAGGCGGTTCCCACCCCACAAGCTCTGGCAGAGCTGTGGAAGGCTGGGACCCAGCCCATTGCCCGTCAGGTCCACGCAAATCCCCCAGCCGATACCGTCCCTTTCTGGTGGCCAGCAGACGGCTACAGGGGGTGATCTCTGAGGTACGCTTGTGTTGCTGCCATATGAACCCTGGTAATAAGGCTCTTTGCTCATTTAATAACACACACGCTTGACGGGGGGGGCTTTTTTCAATGACTGGGGACACGTCATCTCAGCACCGCTCCCCGGCACAGCGGGACACAGCCTCCCTCGGGACAGGGTGCCCTCGAGCTCCCGGGGCCTCCCGGTTCCCCGAGGCGATGCCGCTATGGGCTTGCAGCACCTCTCCCCGTCCTCCGCAGGTGGCTGGGCGGTGACGGGCCCCGCACGGGTGACGGCCAAGCAGGGCGGCTCGCCGGCAGGGGCCCGCCGCCAAAAAACCGCCCGAACACGCACCCACCACCA